AGCGTGAGGAGAAGTGGAAGAAGGAAGCCCGACAAGTTGCTAAGAACTTTGCTGATGTATAATGACAAGGAGAATGGGGGGAAACGGCCAAGCCAAAGGGACGATAAGGGGAACGACAAAGATGGGGTGAACTATCAGGATATGAATAGGTTGCATGGGCAATATATCCTGTTTCAGTTTCTATAACACAACTAAATCTGCCCAAAAATATTGATGGTGGTATGGCAGGTGAAGTCGTGCATGTGAGAGTGTTGGCTCGTACCAGGAAAATGTGGTAAAGTGTACAAAGGGGTGGAAAGATACGAGAAAACGTCCAGGAGAGTATATGCAATGAAATAGTGTTCATAACCTGTTCTTCCTTTCTTGTTCGTTGGAAGTACATTTCCTAGAAAGTTCTCAAAATCAATCGTGGCTTACACGCTAGTGATGGATGTAAGCGTAAGGAGAAGTGGAAGAAGAAAGCCCGATAATATTGCTAGAAATTTTCCTGATGTAGAAGGACAAGGACAATGGGGGAAATAAACCAAGCCAAAGTGACGATAAAAGGAACGACAAAGATGGGGTGAACTATCAGTATAGGAATAGGATGCATGGGCAAAAGAACTTGTTTGAATTTCTACAACACAACAAAATCTGCCCAAAAACACAAGATGGTGGTATGGCAAGTGAAGCTATGCGTGTGAGTGTGTTGGCTCGTATAAGAGACATGTGGTAAAGTGTACGAAGAGGTGGAAAGATACGAGAAACCGTCCAAGAGAGTATGCGCACTGAAATTGTGTTCATGACCCGTTCTTCCTTTCTGGTTCGTTGGAAACACATTTCCTAGAAATTTCTCAAAGTCAATCGTGGTTTATACAGTGGTGAGGGATGTGAGCGTGAAGAGGAGTGGAAGAAGGAAGCCCGACAAAGTTGCTAAGAACTTTCCTGATGTAGAATGGCAAGGAGAATGGGGGAAATCGACCAAGCCAAAGTGACGATAGGGGAACGACAAAGATGGGGTGAACTATCAGGATATGAATAGGATGCATGGGCAATACATCCTGTTTGAAATTCTATAACACAAGATGGTGGTATGGAAGGTGAAACTATGCGTGTGAGTGTGTTGGCTCGTACCAGAGACATGTGGTAAAGTGTACGAAAATGTGGAAAGATACGAGAAAACGTCCAGGAGAGTATACGCAATGAAGTTGTGTTCATAACCCGTTCTTCCCTTCTTGTTCGTTGGAAACACATTTCCTAGAAAGTTCTGAAAATCAATCGTGACTTACACGATAGTGAGGGATGTGAGCGTGAAAAGAAGTGGAAGAATGAAGCTCGGTATGGTTGCTAGGAACTTTCCTGATGTAGAAGGGCAAGGAGAATGGGGGTCAAGGACCAAGCGAAAGAGGCGAAAAAGGGAACGACAAAGATGGGGTGAGCTATTAGGATAAGAATAGAACACATAGGCAAAAGATAGTGTTTGGATTTCTATAACACAACTAAATCTGCCCAAAAACATTGATGGTGGTATGGCAGGTGAAGCTATGTATATGTGTGCGTGTGTGTGTGCATGCGTGCGTGCGTGCGTGAGAGCGTGCGAGCGTGCGTGCGTGCTTGTGTGTGTGTTGGCTCGTGGCAGAAAAACGTGGTAAGGTGTATGAAGAGGTGGAATGATACGAGAAAACGTAGAAGAGAGTATACGATATGAGATTGTTTTCATTTCCCGTTCTTTTTTTCTTCTTCGTTGGAGACACAATTCCAAGAATGCTTTCAGAATCAATCGCGACTTACACGGTAGTGATGGATGTGAGCGTAAATAGAAGTGAAAGAAAAGAGTCGGACAAGGTTGCTATGAACTTTCCTGATGTAGAAGGGCAAGGAGAATGGGGGAAGAGATCCAAGTGAAAGTGACCATAAAGGGAACGACAAAGGGGTGAACTATCACGATAGGATTAGAATGCGTGGGCAATAGATCCTGTTTGGATTTCCATAACACATCATCTCTTCCCTCGCTCCTCATTCGACCCCTTCCTCTCTCTCCCCATCTCCTATCTTCTATTCCTCTGAAATTTCTGACTCACCTGTGCCCACGATGCTCGCACACCGCGTTGCTACTCCCCCGTCGACAAGAGGAGTCCTCGTGTGTTCAATCCCTGGAGGGAGAGTGTGAGGAACGGGCAGGGGAGGGGAAGGGTGAAAGTTATCAGCATGTGGTGTGTCCCGAATGGCTCCCTTGGGTAGGCCACAAAAATGCCCTGTCCCCAACCAAACTTCCAATAGTGATTACTCAGAGAATATGCCAAAAAAATCAGGTGTTGTCCAATAAGAGCAGCTTATTTTTATCCAATAAGTAACAGCGCGCTCTGTTGGTTGCAACTAGTTTTTGCCTGCTTGTTAAGCGAAAGGACAAGGGTTCGAAACCTGCGTGTGTTTAAACAAAACAGCAGCCACAAAAACGCATGTACTTACTAGTTTATCTGCCTTCCGAGAATCGATCCCCTTACCTTTCTATTCACACACGAGTTGCAACCTACTGTGCTAAACGAGTTGTTCAACTTTGTTCAACTTTGAAAATCATTAATAATTACGAGTTTTGTGTTTGGTGCCATCATTTTCTCCCGCTATACTACTTTGCAATTTGTGGCAGACATGCTCAGCGCCCAACTGCGCCAGCGCCTAGAGGCGCCAGCAAAAGGATCCAGCGCCCAAGGGCGCCTGCGCAAGGCGAAGCGCCCAAAGGCGCCAGCGCAAAGGCGCCAGCGCCCAAAGGCGCCAGCGCCCAAAGGCGCCCGCGCAAGGCGCCAGCGCTCAACTTCGCCAGCGCGCAAAGGCGCCAGCGCAAAGGCGCCAGCGCCCAAGGGCGCCCGCGCAAGGCGCCAGCGCCCAACTGCGCCAGCGCCCAAAGGCGCCAGCGCCCAAACGCACCAGCGCCCAAAAGGCGCCAGTGCAAAGCGCCAACGCCCAAGGCGCCAGCGCAAAGCGCCAGCGCCCAACTGCGCCAGCGCCCAAAGGCGCCAGCGCCCAAACGCACCAGCGCCCAAAAGGCGCCAGTGCAAAGCGCCAACGCCCAAGGCGCCAGCGCAAAGCGCCAGCGCCCAACGCGCTATGGCGAAAATCCGCCAGCGCTTTTGTGCCAGCAACCAATGCGCCAGCGCCGCCCAATGCACCAGCACTTAGGAAACATGATGGGTGTTTCTTACCAAAAAGATTGTCACTACAAATTCTTTGAAGACTCTGAGTAGTAGTGCTTGTGGTATTCGTCAATCAGTAGTAGTTGGAAGGTCACTCTCAATAATTGCCAAGAATGTTTGTGAAGAGCTTGTCAAGAATTGCTTTCTGCTAGCTGTGAGGAATAGCTGAATCTGAGTAGTAGCTGTGGCGAAGCGATAGATGGTGGGGATGGATGGGCAGGAAGGACTCGAAGGGGGAGGGGGGATTCGAAGAGAGAATGCGATTCGGAGGATTTCTTTTTAAATTTGAGGTGGGTTCAAAGTTGCTCTAGGTGTCAAATTCGAAATGAAACTTGGGGGCAAAACGAGCCAACTTTTAACTTTTATTACTTCTAAGAGGCTTGGGCAGGTTTGAGTAACTTTTGGGCTGTATTACAAAAATCTACTCTGCCACAATTTGGCTCACGTGAAATCCACGTCAAATTTACAGAATTGACACAATTCTGCTTGTGGAAAAATCATTTCTGACACAACTAATCATTTCTAAGACAACTCATACAAAGTAAACAGACTAGTGTGGTCCTGAATATAGTGCATCTAAATACTTTAGCTTAAGATTGTTCCACTATGACCATATTCATATCATGATTGCTAAAAGGTTGTGTCTAACATATTGAAGCTCGAAATCCAACATATTAATCACAAATGAAAAAAATCAAGAGCATAAGGTATTACTCAATATAAACTTTCTATTGTATTTCTCATACGTCAAGTGCAATTTATAAAATCCATTACAAATAAACGTCATTAATCGCACACGCAAGCAAAATCCACGGTATTTACTTTACCCTCCAAACAGGATCCATTATACAGCACGTTAAATGCACGGTTAATCATTCACCCATTCCAAAGTAGCAATCACCTACATATGCATTTGTGATCATATTATACTTTTGTCATGCTTATGATATATTAGTACTTTTAGATTGTAAATGTATACCTACGCAACCCATACGACGTTAAACGTCGAGTCTTGTTATATATATGCAAAACCCCTGAATCTCGCTAGCAGCCCTGCCCTTCACATGCCATACTTGGCGCGCGCTACGGGATTTTCTCTGCGGTCAAACGGGACATTGCCAGCGTGTCTAGTTTCGCTATGGTCGCACGGATTCAGGGGTTTTCGTTGACACCCAGCAACAAACGGCTGTGGGCTTCCTAGACCCACCACGGAAAGTCGCAGTCCGCATAATCGCCTCCACCCACATGTTTCCAGTACAGTATCTGCCCTCGCGCACAGCCAAAGCAACCGACACCCACCCTCCACATAAATGGGCACCGATGGCCCAAACATGACACAGCCGAAGCAACCAAGCTGTTATCCTACATCGCGGAAAAGTGAATCGCAAAAAACAACTGAAAAGTTGCTGGCCCGTCACATTAGGGTTACTTTCGTCTCGCAAAAAAAAGTCTTAGTCAGAAACAGTGGTAGCTCAAGTAACTTGCGTAGTTTGCTTCGAAGATCGCGTATCGCCGGCCCATCATAATCTGGCCGTCGAATCCACCCGCCGCTTACCGTCGTCTCTTAAAAGGCCAAAAGCTTGAGCTGTCGCGTTTCGCGCGCGGCTCCTTGCGGCGAGCGCGCTCCGTGCGACGATGAGTTCGGAGACCACCGCCGAGTCAATCAGCAGCACAGCGCTCGCGTGCTTGTTCGACGCGCACTGGCTTCGATGGCGCCTCGTGAAACTCGGACACGGAGAGTCAGCCAGTAGCGCTGACAGCCAGCCAACCTGCACGTGGCGCAGCACGTGCCATGACTGCTTGGAAGAGCCGTGGTGCCCGTCGCGGGCGATGCTGTGGACCACGGACGACCCGCCGCGTCTTGACATGGACGACCCGCCGCGCCTTAAGTCGGGCGAATCGCCGCGCTTTGCGACGGAAGATCCTCCGCGCGTGGGAATCTGGGCGAGAGGTCCTGACTCTCACTCCCCCTCCGACTTGTCACCTCCGTCCTCGCCACCAGCGCCTGCACTCGCAGCCGCAACCGAGGCAGATGTGGGAGCAGGGGCAGCGGCAGAGAGGCGGCATGCAGCGCGATTCCTAAGCGACGACCTGATGGGCATGGAGCAGCTGGGGCGCGTGACTCGTGGCGGCTTCTACTTCTGCAACTTTGGCTGCTCCGACCCCGTATCGTCTCTCTCCAAGGACGAGCGCCTGGTTATCCAGCCGCTTCCACTTCCCGCGGGCTTGCACACGCGTCTCGGGCAGCGGCTGTCGCGACAGCAGCAGCACGTGAGCGCGCTTCACATGCCCGTGACTCTCGACATATCCTCGGAATGGGCGTGGCAGCTTTCCGATATGATGGCCTTCGCGCGCTCATGCGTGAACCTGCGGTCGCTGCACCTTGTCTCTGAGCTGCCGAGATACTGCTGGTGCCCGTTTCATGAGGAGCTGACAAAGCCCATGGATTGGGAATGGAAGAAGCACACTCAGGCGGAGCAGATGAGGCAGCTTATATCGAGTTGTCCTCATCTACACTCACTGCACTTCATCCTCTGTAGTAAGAATTACCTTACAATCAGTGAAGAAGTAGCTGCCTTGCTCTCCCGTCTCGCCCACCTCTCCCTGCCTCTCTTCGATCTCCCCTCTTACCTCTTTCCCCACCTCTCCTCCCTCCGCTCTCTCCGCCTCTCCCTCTCTGCTCCCCACCATCCCCTCCTCCTCTCCGGTCGACCCTTCCAATCTCTCTCCCTCCTCTCCCTCCTCCACCTCTCCCTTGGATCACCCACCACCGGCCTTTCTGAGCCTCTCTCACCGGACCTGTTTGCTGGGCTCGGACCAAGCCTGCGGTCCTTGACGTTCCTAGTGTGTGCGAATCCGAGAGGGGTGGAGTGGGAGAGGAGGAAAAGGCGTGGTGGGAGGGGGGAGGGAGGAGGCGGTGGGGTGGAGGAGGGTGGGGAATGGGTGGGGGATGGGTGGGGTCGGGAGGACGAGGTGGTGTGCTGGCTTCCTGCCTCGCTGTGGTCGCTCACGCGCCTGCAGCACCTGACCACCAACGTGGGAGGCGGCTGGGACTGCACGGGCCTCAACGCCCTCTTCCCCCCCCACGCCTCCCACCCTCTCGCTCCCTCCCCTTCGTGCTGCTGCTGCCCATCCTCTTCCCCTGGCAACGACGATTCTACACACCCGCACCATTGTCAGTGCCTAGCCTCCCTTTGTAACCTAACCTCTCTCTCCCTCCTCGCTTACCGCACCTTCCCTCCCTGCCTCTTCTCCCTCTCCTCCCTCACTCTCCTCTCCATCCCCCTCGCCTCTCCTCTCCAATCCCCCGCTTCTCTCGCCCTCTTCGCCCACTGGCCCCATTTGTCTCATCTGCACGTGAATGGTGAGGGTGCTGCCAAACCAGCCTTCTGCCACAGCGAACCTGTAACTGGTCTCGCCGAACCTCCCTTGTGCCCCGAAGCAACCCCTTCGTCAGCCTCCCTCCGCCACGTCACTCTCACGGGAACAGCTGGCGTCATCCCATTGGCGGTGTGGGGGAGGCTGTGCCCTCAGCTGCAGTCGCTCAAGATCCAAGGCTCGCCCCTCGTGGCTGTGCACGGGTGGGGGGAGGCATCGTGGGAGGCAAAGGGGGAGGATCTTGGGGAGGGGGATGTGGAAAAGGGCGCATGTGGTGAGGGGGAGGGCGCATGTGATGAAGGGGAGGTCGGATGTGGTGTAGCAGAGAAGCTACCTGCGAGCATCTTCCCTTTCCTTGAGGAGCTTGTGCTCCGCAATGTGAGAAGCCATGCACACATGTACACAGGCCCACAGCAGCAACAGCAGCAGCGTACACTCGCATTCATGGGCCTCCTGCCCCGCCTAACCCACTTGGCCATCCACAACACCCCATGGCCGTCCCACCCCCACTTGCACGCACCCACCATCCTCCCGCCCCTCCTCCCCAAACTCACCTTCCTCCGCATCCACTCCCCCCCACGCTCCCCCCTCCCCGTGCTGCCACACCTGCGCACGCTCATAGTGGGGTCCTACCCGCACTCCTCGCGTTTCCTCGCCTCGCTCGCCCTCTTCCCCTCCCTAACTGCCCTCCGCATCTTCAACCTCTCCATGCACAACTACCACTCCGCCCTCTCCTGCCCTCCCTCACTCAAATCCCTCCAAATCTGCCACTCCAACACTGCTTTCCTCCCCGAATCCCTCCGCCTCTTCTCCTCCCTCACCCGCCTCCACCTCTTCCAGTGTGTTCCGCTCTTCGCCCTCCCCTCCTTCCTCTCCTCCTTCTCCTCCCTCACCCACTTCTCCTTCGATCGTGGCAAAAACCCTGTTGTGGTGCCGGTGGGCCTCGAAGGGTATCTGCAGGGGAGAGGCTGGGCGCGAAAGCAGGAGGAGGAGGAGAAGTGGAAGTGGCAGGGGAAGGAGCACCAAGGGAGGAGACCGAAGACTCAGTGGGAAATCGAGGAGGAGAGGAGGAGGGAGATGAAATGTCAGAGTGTGTTTGAGGGATCATTGTTGAGTGAGGAGCAGAAGGAGGAGCAGAGGGAGTGGTGGCGGCAGGTGGGGAGGGAAGAGGAAGGGGTGGGGGAGTTGATTTGTCAGGGAGATGGGGGGGACAAGCAGCAGCAGCCGCAGCATCAGACGGAGCAGGGAGATGAGTTGGTGCATGGGGTACAGGAGGTGGAGTTGAGAGGCTCATGCAAGGACGTGGGTGACAGCGAGCATGTTTCACACGATCAATCGCTGGTACCAGCAGAGGAGGTACCAGCAGAGGAGGTACCAGCAGAGGAGGTACCAGCAGAGGAGGTACCAGCAGAGGAGGTACCAGCAGAGGAGGTACCAGCAGAGGAGGTACCAGCAGAGGAGGTACCAGCAGAGGTGGTACCAGCAGAGGTGGTACCAGCAGAGGAGGTACCAGCAGAGGAGGTACCAGCAGAGGAGGTACCAGCAGAGGAGGTACCAGCAGAGGTGGTACTAGCAGAGGAGGTACCAGCAGAGGAGGTACCAGCAGAGGTGGTACCAGCAGAGGAGGTACCAGCAGAGGAGGTACCAGCAGAGGAGGTACCAGCAGAGGTGGTACCAGCAGAGGTGTTACAGCATGGGCAGAACAGCAGCAGCAGCAGCAGCATTGCCGGCAGCACGCAGCTGTTGCAGCTACCATGGGAGGTGCTACAAGGCGTGTTGCAGCGGGTGCAGAGTCCAGTGGACGAGGCGAGAGTGAGACTGGTGTGCCGGGAGTGGCACCACTGGTGCCGCCTCCACACCTCCTGCTTCACCCTCGCCCTCCACCCCCTCACGCTCACCTGGCTGCCCATCCCCCTGCTCAACCCCCCTCTCTCCTCCTCCTCCTCTTCTCTCTTCTCCTCTTCGTGGCTCCCCTCCGACTCTCCCTTCTGGGTCATCCACTCCTCCCCCACCTCCCCCTTCTCCCTGCTCCCCTCCTCCCACCCTCCCTTCACCCTCCCCCCTCCCATCACCCCCTGCTCCCTCTCCACCTGCTTCACCCACCAGCTGGCCACCTCCCGCTCCACTTCTCCGAGGCTCTCCCCTTTATGGTTCGCCTCGCTCCCCTCCCCCTCCTCCCTCACCCACACCCTCGCCCACTACCCCAACCTCTCTACGCTCGCCCTTCCCCTCGTCTCCACCACGGCCTGCCCCCTCTGCCCCTCCCATCTGGGGTCTCTGCTTACTGCTGCTGCCGCTCACCCTGCTCTCACCTCCCTCTCCTTGCTCCTAGAGCCCGGATTCTCAGCCAACTGCGAGTGGGGCTATGGGCGAGAGGACTGGTTTGAGGCTGCTGGGGTGGAGAAAAAGGTCCAGCGATTGTTTGGCCATGGGCGGGAGGAATGGTGGGCGGCTGCTGGGATGGAGAAAAAGGTGCGGCGATGGTGGGGAGAGGCGAACGAGGAGATGGAGAGGGGGCTGTTTGCCGTGCTGAAGAGATGCCGGGGACTCAAGCAGCTGCACATTCAAGGGGAGAACCTCTCAGACAGACTCAAACTCCCCCACTCTCTCTTCCTCCGCTGCCCACAACTCACAGCCCTCTCCCTCCCTCTCTACTGCCTCCCCTCGTCCCTCCTCCTCCTCTCACACCTCACCTCCCTGGCCCTCGCCCTCCCAGCAGACCCCATGCCTCACTGCCTATCCCTCCCGGCCCCCTTCTCCCACCTCCGCTCCCTCCACTCGCTCTCCCTGCATGTGCCTAAGACCCTCAGCCTCTACTACCAGCTCCCTGAGGACGGCAGCAGCTGGAGCAGCGTCTCGGAGGAGCTGCTGCTGGGTCTGCCCTCTTGCCTCTCCGCCCTCTCCCTGCACCTCCCCACCACCGGCATGCCTTCTTCCTTCTCCTGCCTCACTTCCCTGACTCGCCTCGACACCAACCTGCGGATTCCGGGACTGGATGACGCGGAGCAAGGGGTGGGAGCGGAGGAGGAAGAGGAGGAGGAGGAAGTGGAGGAGGAGGTAGGGGAGGTTGCAGCACAGGAAGAAAGCAATGAGGAGGAGGAGCAAAGCAACCGGTTTGCCAATGCACGCGCTGACTCACGACTCACTGATGAGAGATTGCTGCCTCTCTGCAACCTCACCTCCCTCTCTCTCTCCCACTACCTATTCTTCCCTCCTCTCATTCGCCACCTCACCCGCCTCACCTCCCTCTCTCTCCCATCCCTCCACTGGGCATACGAGTATGGAGTCAACAACACCCCGCCCTGCTCCCTCTACCACGGCCTCTCTCCTCTCACTCGCCTGCACGACCTCTTCCTCGCTTGCGACAGCTCAGCCTGCCTGCCCCGCCTGCCCCGTCTGCGTCGCCTGTGTGTGCGATGCACAGAAGATACCGTGCACATCGCTCGGCTCATCGCGCACGTGGCACCATCCCTGGAGCAGCTTAACGTCCGAGCCGACTATGCCATTTGCATCTCGGCAGACCTTTCTGGCAGCAAACTCAACGGCGCAGCAACGGCAGTGGCCTGGCGCGGCAACGTCGGTGAATGGAGGGCGCCTGTGTTTCACAAGCTCAAGGTGCTGCAGCTGGTGACGTCAAGCCCTGGTGTGGATATGTCGCTCTTCCCTGCCCTGGAGCACATGGCACTCTCTGGCAGCCGATATGTGTCCTTGAATGTGGATACTGAATCCTCTCGTAACCTCCGCTTCCTGCACTTGGACCATGTAAACCTGTGGGGATATGACAGGGACCCTCAGCTGACGCAGCTCACAGCGCTCACCACTCTGGTGGTTGACAACGCTGACTGCCGGGACTTCCTTGCATGCCTCTCCTGCTTCTCCTCTCTGCGCACCCTCTGCCTCTCCAACATCACCAGAGGCTGCTCCGAGCCCTATCTCACCTGCCCCCCTCTCCTCTCCACGCTTCAAATCTGCCGCTGCGACCTGCCCCACCTCCCATCCTCACTGGTGAAATTCTCCCGCCTCACTCGTCTCGACCTTCTCCACTGGCGCCGCTTGCACTCTCTCCCGCCTTTCCTCTCCGCGTTCACGTCGCTCCGCCATTTCAGAGTCACATGCGATGGCCCCATGCCCCATGTGCCGGCGTGCCTGAAAGATTGTCTCAGAGGCAAAGAATGGTATGAGCATTCGCCTTGTGATGGGAGCTTTGCCAGTTGAGCATTTCGCTCCTCCCTCTTCGTTTTTCAAGCGAGTTGAGCAAGTCAGTTATCGCACTCTCCTTTCTGAAGCTCGACTTTGTCAGGCAGGCACACGCGGGTTGCTTTGACAAGCTAGTCGATGCAGTCGTATACGTTGACGTGCCTGTAGCAGCCCTTGATGCCCCGGAAGAACTTCACCTGAATGCCCGTGCATCTATCACCTGTCCCCACCACATACGCATTCGCACGCGGGCACGTGCCTTGAGTGTAGGAAGGGGCGCTCCCAATGCATGCCTTAAGAGGGGGGGGACGGGGGGGGGGGCGGTGGGGGAAACAAACGAGTGTAATTAGATGGGCACTTCACATGATACTGATGGCTGCATCCAGGGCTGATGCTATCAGACTAAATACTCTGATTAGTCTGACAAATCAGGGTGTCTAGGCACAGGAAAATGTTTTTTCAGATTAGTTGATTTCTTGTCCCTGAGTGCTTCATGTTGGGCTGAGAAAGCCCTTTAGGATCTTTGCAGAACAGAATTCAAGAGTAGGATGATGTAGTAGCGGAAGCGTTTAATAAAGAATTGTGAACCACCTTGCGCTTGTATGTGAGGGCAAAGTAAGTTGATTAAACAAAAGAGATACAAGCTTTTATAAGAATACAGAGAATATGAAGAGATACGGTTACTAACTGTTTTACTGTTGCTGTTGCGGTTCGATACAGTGTCGACTCGGGCAACTGCTCAGTATCGAGACAGTTGTTTGTCCTTGCTGTCGCGCTGCATTTGTCAGGTCAAAGGTCGCTGACCTTTGACTTTCGCGTAACCTCCAACAGTTATTCAACCTCCGAGGGTTGACTCACCGATGTTTCGATACGATCTGCTTCGCTTCTGTCTTGGTGTTTCGACACGACAGAGGCGCTTAAATCAGTTGTTTCCAACACTCCCCTTCGCTTCTGGAGTGTCGCTGCAGGTGACGTGGCTCTGTCCAGTCAGCAGCATGCAATATTCGAACTTCGACTTTCCGAGCTTCTTGGTCAAGTAATCAGCTGCCATCTCGGACGTGGGGCAGTAAGACAGCTCAAGTCTCCCTTTTTCGATCTCGTCCTTTACGAAGAAATATCGCAGGGCGATATGCTTCGTCCTGTTCGCGAATCCATTTTTATTGGCGATGCGAATTGCCGACTGGTTGTCGCAAAATAGGGAGAAGCTGGGTAACTGGGCCAGCTTCGCTTCCTCCAGGAGTTCGCGAAGGTACAGTCCTTCCTTGGTGGCTGAACAAAGTGCGATATATTCAGCTTCAGCTGAGGAGAGGGCGATTAATTCTTGTTTGCTCGACTGCCACGAAATAGGTCCGATAGGCTCGAGGCGGTAGACGTAGCCTGTGCGCGAGCGCCTGTTATCAGAATCTCCGGCGTGGTCGGCGTCGACGTAGCCGATTAGCTTGGGCGTTGTAGTTATATTCTTATAGTAGATCAGGCCGATCGTCGGGGTGCTTACGAGGTAGTGTAAAGCGCGATCGAGCTCCTTCATGTGTTCGTCTTCAGGCCTTTTGAGGTAGGTGGCGAGTTGACTTGCTGAGTAAGATAGGTCTGGACGGCAGGTGACGGCCGCGAAGAGAAGGCATCCCAGCTTTCTCTGGTAGTTGCGTATGCCGGCGGGTTTCAGTGGAGCAGATTCTGCCTTGTCATTTCCTGCCGTGTAGCGGTATGGCGTGGAGATGGTAGTTGGCGTGAGTGCGAACCGTTTGGCGATGGTGTCGGCATACTTTGCGGCGTTGAGATAGATTGCGTCTTCTCCTTCTTGGATGTTGAGGCCGAGGTATTGCGTGACGGTAGATGAAACCGTGAGCGTAAGTTCTTTCTGTAACTCCCCTTCGAACCAGGTAGTGATATTGTCGGTTGACCCGATGTAAAGCAGATCGTCTACGTAGATGATTAGTAGAATGTAGTCGTCACCTTTCGTGAATCGGTACATGCCTTGGTCGTGCGGCAGCTGCTTGAATCCGATGCGAGTGAGCCGAGCGTGTAAGTACTGCTGCCACAGTCTCGGGGCATGTTTAATCCCGTACAGAGATTTTTGCAGTTGACAGACTTGATTGGGCTCTCCGTGAGAACCATGTGGGAGTTCGACGTAGATTTCTGCGTCGACAGGTGCGTAGAGAAAAGCATTGGCGACGTCAATTTGCCGCAGTTTCTTCTTTTTCATAGCGGCGACCGCGAGAAGAATCCGTAGTGAAGTATGTCGACTAACCGGTGCGAATGTCTCAGTAAAATCGCGTCCGTGCTCTTGGTCGAAGCCACGTACGACCCAGCGTGCTTTGAACTTGTCGATGGTGCCATCTGCTTTCGTCTTCACACGGAAGACCCACTTCCCGGTGAGTATCGTCTTGTTTCGTGCCACGCCAATAGGAACAACCTTCCAGGTGTTGCGCTCCTGTAGTGCTTTCAATTCCTTGTCCATGGCTTCACGCCACTTTTCCCTATGCTCCCCCCCCAGAGCCTGCTGAACTGTGGCAGGCTCCTTAGGAGGATCCGTGCCGTGGACCGCGGTGACGAGACCAAGTATCTGAAGTCCACTCTGTGTGTATCGGGGGAGTGTTGTGTCCGCGGGATAAGCTGCTTCGTCACCGGCTTCTGGGTCAGGTATGAAATTGGGCCCTATGCGTTCTGCTTCGTTGGTGTTGACTTCTGCAGGTGTAACGTAACCAGTGTCGGCGAGGTTGAGATAAGTTTCGGCGTTGACGCTTTCGCGAGGATTTTCGTCATCCATCGGGATGGGCACGGAGCAGTAAGGGAGTGGTCCTGCTTCTTCCGAGGCGTTATCCACGTTCTGTTCGTCCCAGTCAGCTTCGTCTGCTGCCGAGGCGAAGTGTCGGTCACCATGGAAGCCACCTGTGGGATTCCGATTTTCTTCCAGGTTGGCAAGGTATGTCGGAAGGGTGAGTCGTTCGTAGAAAATGACGTCACGTGCTGCTACTGTTTCTTTGGAGTGGACGTCGAAAATCTTCCACGCGTTGTAATTTCTTTCGATGCCCAGGTGTAGTCCCCACTGTGCGCGTTGAGAAAATCGGCCGGCTCGTGCAGATGGGGGTCGGTACTGTACCATGCAGCCGAAAACTCTTAACATTTTTGTGCTGCCCTGTTTTCCTGTCCACAACAGGTGCGGTGATGCGTTGTTCGGTAGTGACGACGACGAAAGCAAGTTGTGCAGCATGACAGCGTGGTCCATCGCTTCAGGCCACTGGTGATTGGGCAGTCGCATGCCACGCAGTAACTTGCGCATGGTGTTCTGGAGAGTTCGATTCATCCGTTCCGCCACGCCTTGCTGTTGATGGGCGTAAGGAAGCGAGATGAGCCTCTTGATCCCCTTTTCTGCCAAGAACTGCTTGAACCTCTGTGAGGTGTATTCTCCTCCTCCGTCTGACTGAAAGCTCTTCAGTTTCTCGCCCGATTCTCGTTCTGCTACTGGGAGCCAAGCGATGAAGGCTTCAAAGGCCATGTCCTTGCTCGGAAGATTGAGGTGCCATACGTAACGTGTAGCTGCATCGATGAACGTGATGGTATAACTGTATGCTCCTTGTCCAGGTTCGTGGTTGTACAAGATGTCGCTGTACACTTTCTCAAGTGGTGCGTAAGCTGGTGCGCTGGGGTTGTGGTGAGAAGTAAATGGCCGATGTGGTAAGTCTGCTTCGGGGCAGGTAAAACACGTTCCTCGCGCTCGTCGAAGTTCACTTCCGTCGGTTAGAAGCAGTGAATCTTTGTCGAGAACGCCTGCTCTGGTTGTGTTGTTTAACACTGTATTGCTTGGATGTGCCATTCGTGCGTGCCAGATGTCTTCGCTAGCGCGATGTCCGGGTGAACGACGATACAGGTCGGAGTTGGAGTAAAAGGCGGCGGTGAAGTTGGCGCTTCTGTGAACTTCGCGAGGAGTGGGAGTTAGCTGCTGCCCGGGAGTCGGTGAGGTATTGTCAATGTGCGGCGATGTCGTTGAAGAACTTGCAACTGGTGTTGTAAGTGTTGTTGCTGCTGCTGCCGTTGTTGTTTCTGCTGCTGTCGATGTTGTTTCTGCTGCAACCGAGTGTTGAATCGTTGCTAATGCTCGTGTTCGTTCTGCTTCAGGGATGGTGTGCGAGTACCAGAAGCCTTCTGGACTGAAGTCAGGATCAAGATCCGGTGGATGTGTCCAAGAAGTAAAGGTGACAATCCCGTCGCTGTCGGCAGTGCCGAGATCTGGGACGAAGTCGAGGACGAAGACGTTATTCTTCAATACTGCTTTGCCGATGTAGAGTCCCCCTCGACCGTGGAAGAGCTTGAACTCCTGTGTGGTACTGTCTGCTTCGAGATGGATCCCCTTCGCCATTAATTGGCTGACGCTCAGTAGGTTGTAGCCGAGTCCCTCTGCTATTAAAACCTTGGACATTTGCAGTATAACGTTTGTCTCTCGTGACTGAAGTTGCACTACGCCTTGTCGTCATGTGCGCAGGTTCTGATTGTTGGCGACGGTGATGACGACCTCTCGTTGAAGTTGGTGTTCACGTTGAACAAATCGTCCTGAAGAGCACATATGCTGACCGCAGCAGCTGTCCAAGAACCACGTATCTTTTCTAGACGGCTCGCTTTGAGCGATAGCTGCATACGTCGGATTTGGTTGAAGTGACTCGCGGCGAGGCGTGCTGTTGTCGAGTTGTTCTTCCGGTGAGTAATGTGGTGGAGACTCGGTGATGCAAGAGTCGGTCAGTCGTGTCATGCAACTGACGATGTTTCTTGTTTCTTGCGCAGGTTGTCCCGTCGATGTCGTTGAGGCTTGAGAGGTCGGATTCGCTTGCGTTGAGGTGACTTGACTGCTTGAAGGCCGAAGCTGCCGGTTTGGGCACTGTGTACGGGGGTGACCTGACGTCTTGCAAAGATGACAGAACGGAGGTACTGATTTCGGTTGATGCCGATTGTTGTTGTTGTAGCGTCGTTGAGTGTGGAATGCAAATTCAGGCACTGATGCCTTCTTCTTGTGTCGTTCCTCTTGC